ACACACACACACACACACACACATATATATATATTTACTTTTATCAGAGTATTGCTAGTTTAGTCTGCAAAATAATCGCTGAATACTCAAGTTTATGCAGGTTACTTGTTCTGAGTTTCTCAGCCTGCTTTGTCAGTACATGAGGGGTTATATGGTACAGAGGATATTTCATGATAAAACAATCATAAGATGCAGTCAAGACTGACTACAGGTGCTCAGTGTGTACATAATACATAAACAGGTGTTCTTCATTACTSTCAGCAGATGTTGGCAGGTATGAAGTAGACAACCTGGTTTCTAAAGATAAAAAATATCAAATACAAAACTATTTAATTTTGTTTGTAAATGTAAATGGGTATTGAGATTTTGAAAACTGTACATGGCTCACCACCTGAAGTCTTGCTTAGAGCCTCAAATTGGCTAGAGCCAGAGCTGCCTGTATGGAGTTTACTGCATTGTTTGTTCCTTTCCAGACGTGTAAGCTGCCCATGCCACGTGCACTAAATCCCCTCCATACCATCAGAGAAGCAATTTTTTTTAAAAACTGTTTACTGATGACATGATGAGTGGTCTGTGGTAGGTTTCTATGTTGGTCTCAGTTCATTTTAAACGAGCTTTGGTCCAGAGACCTGGTATTTCTACATTGTGTTCACATATACATACACATACTTCTCTAAAATGCTTCTTTTTATGCCCTTTTGACTTTATTCACGATGAAATATTCTTCCAACTGTTTCTAATATACCACTTTCTTTTCCAGCCTTTTGTTGCTCCTGTCTGTTTTTCTGTGATGCATTGTTGCCTCAGTATCTTAAATTACCCTTTTTCCTCCTGAAAGATGTACAGCTTTTTAGTTGAACCATTAAATATATTTACTATGCTCCATTGTAGAAAAAAATCTGGGTTTGTGAGATTTACAGTCCATTAAGTCTGGTTTTARACAACATCAGAAAATGGTGTCGTATTTTGTTTTCTGATTACTTAGATAATCAAATCCACAATCAGTGAAATCAGTCACTTACCTTTTTGCTTCTGGGTTTGAGCCACCATGGCTTGATGCCTGTTTATCTCATGTTGGTTGACTGTGAAATAAATAAAAAAAAAAAAAAGAGAGAGAGAGACGGGGGTCACACCAGACCAAATCAAAAGCATGAAATATACTCAAGGGTTTTCACATTACCATAGAAATGTCGTCGATTGAAACTGGCTTGTCGTAACCTGCTGAAGAGCTCTGAAAGGTGTGTGACGACAGTTAGACCATCTGTTTTAATGTTGAAGTCAGCAATAACAAAAACAACTGTAAATACACTGTTTTTTTTAAAGCACCTATGTGAAATCGTTGTCGTGTTCTGCGACTTTCCACCCTTTGAAACCTGAACTCATTCAGGTTTGGATAAATCCCAACGTTGCTTTGATGGGGCTGAGTCTGGTCCTGATGCTGCGGGTCTCCTGCTGGACCGCTGTGGTTACTGACTGGGTTCCTGTCTGGTAGGTACTCAATATCATTTTCTGCTAGCAAAAAAGATTGAATAAAAACATGTGGCTGTTGTTATGTGTGGGTGAAAACTTCCTGCAGAGACTTTCTTTCTGACCAGATGAAGTCACATTCCCTAAAAGTGGTTAAAATGAAGAGGAAACAGAGGCCTGTTAACTCACCGTAAAACTGTCTATTATTATCTACACCTTCAGAAGAGAGAAGCAGACWGATTTAGTGACATTTAAATCTGTTAAACCACAGAACAAAACAAAAACACTCAGTTCAGATATTAATTATTAAAAATAAACCTTGACATAAAATTACCCATCTGAGATTGGTGAGCTTCTTGAGGTGGAGCACTGGCACCTGCAGAAAGACAAGTTAGTTTATAATAAATGAATTCATTATTATTATTATTATTATTATTATTATTATTATTATTATTATTATTATTATTATTATTATTATTATTATTATTATTATTATTATTTAGAGTCACCAGTGGTGGGCAGTGCTAATCCAAAAATTAGCTCCGCAGTTTCAAAAGCATTTAGCAAAACTATTTAGGTCTGCAACTTCAAAACCGCTTATGCCGTAGAAAAACTAGTGGAAACTAATTTTAAAATGCAAGTTCAATTTGACACTAGCTGACAATTCATGTACAATATGTATATTCACAACACTGCCAACTAGCAGTGTATGAACTCTTTTACAACTTAATTCTACAATCGCCGATTGCAGGGGATGTGATTTCCTGAAACAGACCTTTAGCTCCTGGTGTAAAAATTAAAAAGTTGTTGAGGATTGCTAGTTTGGCTGATTCTTTAAAAAGTTGATGAGAATAGTTCGGCTGCTTTGTCTTTTTCTTTTGTTTGTTGTAGATTTTTCATTAAAGAAGCATCAATAAAGTAATTTTAAAACTGTTTATTGGAAAACTGAAGCGATGCATTCTGGGTACATGATGGACTGACGGGAAACGAAAGCACGGGGAACAGGAAACTAGTATCTTCCATTCAAAATAAGAATTTTAAAGTTGTTCATGTTTCCATTGGATTTTAAAGTTTTCCAGTTCACCTGAAACTCATCAGACTGAAGAAGTCTCTTGGAGGAGAGATGAAACGTTTCACTAAAGAAGAAGCCATCCAGAGGACCTAGTTATTTTTTCTTTTTGATTTTTGTCCACCTGGATTAGGACATTTTCCATGTTGTTGCTCCAGTTGACCACTAGATGTCAGTCTTCACCAGCATAACATCTAAATCATTTCTGAGTCTCTAACATTGTTGGCCGATTGCTTTTGAGCTCCAACGTTTAAACTTTATTATTTTTTTTAAAAGGAACTCCAATTGTGAAGTAAAATAAAATTCGCTTATGAACTAAAAAAATTAGTAAGACCGCTAAAGCGCAAATGAAATATTTAGGTCCGCAATTAATGGATTTGCGCTTTAGCGGGCTGGTGCCCACCACTGAGAGTTACTGATCTGTCCAGTATACCAGAAAAATTCCCAATTATTCACTGTTCTACTACTTTTTGCTACTACTCTTAGCTATTTATTTAGTTACCATTCTATTATTTTTAGTTTTTAGCTACAATTTTGTTCCTTTTTTTACTATTTTACTTCTTGCAAAAAACCTAAAAAAGTCAATGTAAACAAATAATAATCAAACATTTAACAGCATTTATTTAAAGAAATCATTCTCATGAAATGTTGTGAAACTTTTGAAACAGATATTGTTAAAACTGCCTCTGGTCTTGGGCCCACTTAGACTGATTTCTCAAACTGAGGTCATTTAAAGAACTATGTGCAGCAGGTAAGATGTTAATTGTTCATAACCTTTCCACAGAAATGTTACTTTCCATACATTTATCTATATACCATGTACTAAAGCTGCCTATTCTTTAAAATTTTGTTTAAAGTGTTTATTGATCATAATGAAAGAAGAGATCATTTATTTGGGTTCAAGTAATTGTAGGCAGAAGTTGCATTTTTCAATGTATGTTTGACAAAAATGTGTGCACAGAAAAAATTGTTATTCTGAAATTATATCTCCAATATGTGTTTACCTTCAAAATTTTCACTGCCTTCAGTCTTATCCTGTTTTCTTTTGCTCCACAGGCCTGAAAAGAAGCATACAGTCGGTTAAAAATCTTATCTGTTTAGAAATAAAGCTTAAACAGGCGCAGATGCTCACCTGGACATTTCACCCAGCAGTAATAACCAACACAACCGAGCAGAATGAGGACAGCCACTCCAACACAGAAGTAAATCAGTAGCCATGCACTCTCATCTAGCGTACCTGCACAGCAAGTTGTGGTTTTAGAAAGTCGTGTTTTACAGGAAACAGTAGCTTACTGTCTGTCAGGCTTTGGAACTTTGAGGTCTGAGACCTTCAAAAGGAAGAAGCTGCATGCCTCTGCACAGGCTGCTGCTTTCTTTCAACAAAACCCAGAAACCAGAGCCACACATACGTTTATCATCAAGCAAATCCACTTGAAAACATTTATTCCTCTTTCTGCAGTGGTACGTTCCCAGATCTGAGTCTTTTAGCTCATCCATGCCGATGGAGAAGTTCCCCACTGAGGCCTGGTTTGGYAAGGCCTTGACTCGGCCGTGTTTGGGGTCGAGGAACTGAACTCGCCCGTTAGACGAGAGTCGGACCATCGGGGCTGGATTATTTAAGTGAGTCCAGGTCACCCGGTTAGCAGGGTTTATTGAAAAGTTGCATGGTAAGAGTACAGAGGAGCCAAGAGGAGCTCTGAGTGTGTTTGTTTCACAAAGAGCTTCATCAAACTGCTCACCTGAAAGGAAACATATTGAAACGAGTTTAGAACATCTATTTCACACTCAAATAGAAAATAAGTGACAAAGATAAGTTGTWAAAACAATTCACAAAACCTTGGCACTGATGTACTTATAAATATAAGCTATATTATGGTTGGTTTATCAAAAATATTTTTACTAACAGGATTTAAGAGGCAGAAACAGGTGGATTTTATTGCATTAGGTAATAAAAAGATGATTTTTGTTAAGAAAATGTTGCCAGTGATTAGTCAAAGTTTACTTTTTAATCTAATAAAATGTTTTTACTTTGAAATAACTATTTTAGYTGTTTAAAGTGAATACAACAATATCTGAAAACAAGGATGGAGTTTCCAAAAAGGCTTACCAGGGCATCAACTCAGACCCCGAAGTGATRAGTATTATCATGTTTAATGAAGGGAGGTTTACCAAACACCTAATTTAATTTATTTTGGAAGCCGATATCACTAAAAATAAGTCTATTATTGTGAACTTCTGCTTTGTTTGTTTCAATTTTTTAGTTTTAAAGTTGAATATTAGTTTTGCTYAAGGAATTTGTTATTTTATGTAAATATTTTGGTTTCATCTTTAAATGTTACCTGTAAGCTAAATGCAGCTCTTCWCTGTGTAACTAGAAACCTTTAAATTAATGGATGCAAACCTTTGTTTTTTTCTTGCAGCTCCACTTCAACACAGTTCTTCCCCTCCTTGCAGGTGTAAGACCCCAGATCAAACGTATTCAGCTCAGTGATGGAGATGGAGAAGTTCCCCACTGAGGCCTGGTTTGGAAAGACTTTCACTCGATCCTGTCTGTGCTCGAAGAACTGAACTCGCCCGTTAGATGCCAGCTTGACCACATCCCGGGTCAGGTCGTCAGCCACCTGAGCCCAGGTGACATTTGAGAGACCGGTTGTTGAAAAGATGCACGGTAAGAGCGCAGAAGAACCGAGTGAAGCCGTGATTGTGTACATTTTACAGGAATCCTTCCGAAGAGGTTGGACAGGCGTCTGCTGGCCTAAACAGGAAGAATACACAGGAAAATTCCAGAAAGAAGTTAAAGGAACATAACTGAGCCACTTCACCAACACACACACCCACGCACATGCACGCACTCACACGCACGCACGCGAAAGCTCAACAATTACACGTTCTGCTTCGGTTATTAAGAAATTTCATCTTAAAATGTTACACAGAACACTAAAAACAAGACCACAGCAACACCTCTGAAACAGAGATAGCACCGATTAATGTAAAAAAAAAAGATTCTTGTCAAAAGTTTAAYTATTTTTCTCTCTGAGGTCTTTGTCTTTAATGGTAAATCTATCAATTACACACGTGGGAAAAAAAACTGTTGAAAGAAAACCCACAATGGTCCCAGAAATAACTAGAATCTGCCAAAAGTAATACAAAATAAAAATTCTACGAAAATGAACAAATGAAAGTCAGACATTGCTTTTAAACCATGCTTCAACAGAATAAAAACAAACAAATAAATAAAATAAGACTCAAGAAACAGGCCTGGACAGAAATGATGGTACCCCTGAAAGTAATGTGACCAAAGGGATCATGTTAAATCAAGGTGTGTGTCACTAATTATCATCGCAGGTGTCTATAATCTTGTGATCAGTCAGTGGGCCTGTATACAGAGCTTCAGATACTCACTGGGCTGTTTGGTGACAMGGTGTGGACCACACTCAACATGGACCAGAGGAAGAGAAGAGTTCTCTCAGGAGATTAGAAAGAAAATTATAGACAAGCATGTTCATTTTCATAGTATTTTTTATTTATTATTACTTTTGTCCGATTCAAGTTATTTCTGTGACTGTTATGGGTTTTTCCTTCATTAAACGGCGGGTACCAACAGCTTTGTCCACATGTGTAAAAGTGAGATTACGACGGGGATGTTTTGGAGGCCCAACCATGTGAAYACAGTGTCTAACGCTCCCTGAACTGTCAGTTTTCTGTACACCTTGGTCAGGGTTGAAGAAAGCTGGTGCCTGTCTTTGGTGGTGACTGGGTGAGAGGCAGGTCCACCCAGGACAGGTCACAAGTCCATCATACGGACAGTTTAGAACAGCCAGGCAACCTGAGGAGTGACTGCTGGGGTGGTCCTCTGCGGCTGGAGACCGCCTGGTTCATGTTGGCCGTGTTGTGTTCAGCATAGATGGGTAGAGTATCCAATAGTTGTACTCAATTAAGAGTAAAAATATATATATTTTGTAAAGAGGAACTTGAGTACTGAGTAACTAATCATTTCATTTTATATAATAAAATGGTGCCAGAATGACAAAAAATGTGTTATGTGCAAATTATGTTGTTTTTAAAGACTAAAATGAAGAACATTTGATACAAAAAATAAGATAATTCCAAAATAACAAAATTCAGCAGAAGAAAAGCTTTTCCAAGTCAAACTACAAATGATCAAACTTATGAAACTAATACTTGCATCAGGTGATATTACCGTGGATAGGGAATTCCAAAGTTTTACTCAAGTAAGAGTCACAATACTGATAACAACATTATTCAAATAAAGTAAATAGTATGGTCTACTAAAACTACACCAAAAAGTATTTTCTTTTGAAAAATTACTCAAGTAAATGTAACTAGTTACCCAACTCTGGTGTTTAGACATGGTACTCTGCAGATCTTTGTTTATAACGAGGCTTTATTGAGCTCTTGTTGTCTTTCTTTCTGTCCTCTCAGACCAGTCGGCTCATCCTCCTCTGACGTTAACAAGACTTTACTTTTGTCCACACAAATGCCGTTTTCTGGATGTTTGCTCTGTTTTTGGACCATTGGGCCTCATGCAAGAACATGTTCGTATTCTTATCCTAAATTTCTCTTACTTTTGTTCGTACAAAGGGTTCGTACGAACATGTCACGTCAGATTCAACAAACTCTTCTATCTTCAGGAAAAGGGTGTAAATGAGCTGCGTAATTTACACCTGTCCTATCCAGCTGCTCGTGCACGCGAGAGGAGATTAGCATAATTACCACCCCAAAAACATCATATAAGGCTGTGTTTCCTGCCTCAGATACAAGGAAGTGTCCATTCATGAAAAATGACAGCGAAAACTAAAAAGAAGAACTTTATGAGTTCAGAGATTGAAGTCCGTCTGTCAGAGATCCAGAAAAGATCTTCCTGTGCGGGTGCCCCTTGGGGCTCTGCGCTCGGGATCCCTCTCGGGCCCTTGGACTCTGGTCTTCCCTATGTCTGCCTCGTGTCTTGGGGGTTGGGTCTTCGGTCCTCCACAGTCACTATTAAATATTCCATTGGAGAAATCTTGTATATACACGCATGTTCACAACTGCTCACAAACAGGTGTTCTGATCCGGGGGGTTCTGACTGGTCACTGAGTGTGTATARATGTCTATGTGTATATACTGACAATATTTATGAATGTAGGCATGTATGTATGTATATCTTTATATATGTATGGGTATGTGTATATTTTTATATATGCCCTCCATGTATTTATCCATTTATTTTTCAGGTGAGAGGACAGATGTTGGGTGTGTGGTCCTGTGTTTTGTTGGTGTATATTTAATATAATCCTAATCTCTATTTCAATCTTTCTATCTTTGTAATTACTTCTCTCTCTGTTTTTCTCTCTGTCTCTATTATCTCTTCACTTAAAAAAAGTCACTGATGATGAAGAAATAAATAAACTAAATAAACTGATATTTGGTTTTGTTTTCTACTGAAGTGACAAAAAAAGAGATCCAGAAAAGAAAATCTGTCATTTTTAGCAGGTCAGCTGTGGAATAAAAAGAGCTGCTAAAAGTATYAACAACTGTGTTAAATCATCTTCAGTTATTCAGAAGCCGCACCATCACACACTGAACCCCCCGCGCGCGGTCTCAAGTGGTCTCAGTTGCGGTTCTGAAATAAGCATTTTAAAATGTTTTCAAAATAAGTCTGGCACTTTGGAGAAAATCCAGGACTCGCTGGAGGGATTATGTATCCCCTCTGGTCTGGGAACATCTCGAAGCCCCCCAGGACGAGCTGGAAAGTGTCGCTGGGGAGAGCGGGGTCTCCTGCTGCCCCTGCGACCCGATCCCGGATAAGCCGGCCGGACGGACAATTTATGTTGTTATTCTAAATTATTACATTTAAAATTATAACTCTAATTCAAGCAGAATAGCCTATTGTCAACATAATTATGGAGTGTAATTTATTTTCAACTCAAAATATCTTCAAACTAATGAAATATAAAGTTATTAATGAAGAAAACCCYTCTGGATAACAGCAGACTGACTGCTCGTAAAATATACGACAGGTCTGGACCACTCGTAAATTTTGTTCGTATCTGAAAAAAATCTTAGAATATGAAAACATTGGTGAATGCCACAAATTCTCCTAAATCACTCGTACGCACAACTTAAGAACAAATCTGTGCGTACGAACGGTTCTTGCACGAGGCCCGTTTCTAAATTTTAGATAGTGGTTGTGTAAAAACCSCAGTACATCAGCAGTTTCTGAAATGCCATCAACCACACCAATGTCCTTTATGTTCCGAGTTTGAACTTCAGCAAGTCGTCTTCACCACGTCTGCATGTCCTAAGGCTTTGAGTTGCTGTTGTGTGATTGGCTGATTTGTGTTAGCTGGCAGCTGAACATCTGGAGCTAATTATGTGGCTGATAAGTGTTTAAATGTTTGAGGAAATATAAACCATAAATCATTATAGATCATTTCGGTCAGAATTATATCAGCAATTTCCACTGTAAATAATGTTTTTTTTAATGGGAATCTCCTATTTGCCTATTCACACCATGTCTTGTTAGAAATTTGATCATAATAAATTGTTAAACCATTAGATTAGTACTTTTTCTATTGTCAGACAATAAGTTCAGTAAACTAAGAAATCTAGCCAAAATAAACAAAGTAAACTCAAACTATAGAAACACAACGCACACACAATAATTGAGTTAAACAGATGTCTTTTTTTCTCTCAGCAGTTCATATTTTTACACTTTAATTTATTTAAAGTACTTACCATTTGACGAAACACAAATGAGCAACGGGACTAAAAAGAAAACCCACATGTCGACGTTCATCGTCAGTCTTTCAGTGTGAACAGCAACAAGGTGAGCCTATTTAACCTCCGAGCATCATGGGACAAAACCACACGACCACCACACTTTCTTCACTTGTTTATGTAATAATCCCAGCTGACTCTCGCTTTGGACGAAAGCTTAAAATCTTTAAAGACTGGAATTTTTTAATATGTTTTAGACTGAATATCGATCAAGTCAAACTTTATCATCACAGGAGTCAAACGTTATGATTTAAAGTTAGAGAATCAAGTTAACGAGGCCCGAACAACGCACTCCCACCACTTCCTGTTGAAGCTCGCTGACATTTCCTGAGCGAGGGACCTTGAAAAGAGAGAGAGAGAGGTATGTAAATGTAACCAGCTCTTCAGGTAAAATATATAAGAATGACCTATGACTTTATCAATCCATCACGGCCCTCTGTAACTTTTTAAAATAACACGCTCTGTTAGGCAATCTGACAGATTAAAAGAATAAAGGCTATATTTTATAAAGTGTTTGAACAAACTGATAAGAAAAGTATTTAAAAATGAAATATGGCTTCTTAAATTACATTTTTTTTTGTAAAATTCAAGCAGGAGATGAAATCATTTCAGCACAGCCCACGTTTCCTTCAGCCCACTCTGTCYTGGTTGTTTGTTACAAACGCTGAAGCACACTGATGCATTCAGAGGTTTCATATGATGAAACTGTCCCTCAAACTGTGTGAAAACAAACCTCTGTAGAAGTTTATTATTGCTAGGCTGTAAGAACTGGTTTATTTCAACAATGTGTTGAAATGTTTCAGTATTTATTTTCTGTCAGATACTATTTTTTAATGTAACACAGCACCAGCTGTGAATGCAATTCTGAATTTCCATTTGCGGTGGCAAACTGAGGAGATAAAAATAGACACTAGGCTACTAAAATAATCTTACTCGCTGTAATGGAATTTTACTCAGCTACAAGAAAAGGCAGCAGAAGTAATTTCACTAAAAATGTACTGAGAGTAAAATATATGTTACTTTTTTAATACTCAAGTAAAGACAAGTACACAAAAATATTACTCAGTCATAGGTAAGTGCAAATCGTTTTTTCCTCCTCTGCTCATGAAACCACATAAATCTCATGAATCACTGCAGTTTTGTGTTTCTGCATCCTCACGTTTCCTGATCCTATAAGTTTTTAGAGCGTCTTTAGTTTTCAGTTTCAGTGGGTGTTGAATTTTTTTAACAGCAATTAAAAAGAAAAGAGGAAATTAAAAACAAATATTTCTCCACCAGAAGACTCCTTCTGAATGCTGCCTTAGTGTTTACAGATGTTTCAGATACTACATTAAGTCAGGATCTGTGTTTTGTTTTAGTTATTTAGTTCCTTAAGTTMATTTTCTAGATTTTTCCTTTCTTTGGTTGTTTTCTCTGATTCCGTTTCATGTCAGTGTTTCTCTCTCCTGTTCCTTGTTGTCCCTCCCCAGGTGTTGTCATTTCTCACTGATTAGTTTCCCTTTGAATTATGTGTCTTGTCTCTTGTTTCTCATCTTTGTGTTGAGTTTTCTATTGTCATTCATGTTTGCTTCTAGCCTGGCCCTTGCCATCCTACGCAGCTCCACTCAATTCTAGTTTCCCTTCACTGCTCCATCTGGCATTTCTCCCATTGACAAGGATTTTGCTGGCAGATTTTTAGCCGAACCAATCAGAGAACAGAAGGTCGATTTTCTGCGCAGTGTCTGCTTGTAGTTWATTTTAKCTGGGCCAATCAGAGAACAGAAGGCGGAGTTTTGAATGACGTCGATGTTCTGCACAGTCTCTGCTAGTTAGTTTAACATACGGCAGTGGAGGAAGTGAATGAAGCCAGTCCGTGTTGATAAGGCTTCRAAATTAAAWTAAATTTGTCTGWCAAAGCAGCAGCTCTCATTTACAGTCGTCTCGTTCGGCTCGGTATATTTCTCCTCTCAGTAGGGTTGTTTACAGCACACGCAATTTCCGGTTAGCTTCTTAGCTTAGCCTCCTTCACAGCGATATACGTCGCAGCCAACTGATCCAATCATTTTAAACTTCAGCAGAGGCCACGCCTCCAGCAAGAATCGCTTCTCTATAGCCGAGAGTCCAGACCCTCGATCCAATCATTTTAAACTTCAGCAGAGGCCACGCCTCCTGCAAGAATCACTTCTCTATGCATCAAGTCCAGACCCTTTTGAGTTCTGTAAGAACTTCTTGCTGCCATAGCAGCTTGAATTTTTTGACGTTAAAAGTTTCTTTGAGTCCCAAGTTCAAGTCGACTTCACCAAATGTGAGACTTTAACCATATTAATGATGTTAAAAAATCAGTTTGAGATGATGAAAACTTGACTTATTAATTTAAATGTGAAAAGACGAGTCACGTATGAACATTTTCCGCAAATTTTAATTATTTAATTGTGTTYATAATTCTTACAGTTGCAGACCAAAGACAACATAAGCCACTTGAGCAAAATCTCTCACACACAAAAAATAGTCATAATTAACAATTATCAAAACCTGTAGGTCATATGTTGTCAGAAATAAAAACTKTTTTGTCACAAACAGGTATTCACCATTTTTATCAAGAAACACCAGTTTGTTTCTGAAACCTTTATCCTGTTGAGTCGTTTTAAGCTGAGATTACTTTTTTTGTCATCTAACCTCATTTTACACAAAAACTATTTGCTTTAATAATCCAGAACAAGTTCATAAATCAACCAGGCAGTGAAACAACCCCAAATCATGAAATTTCRACCACCATGACTCGCTGATATTTTAAGGTTTTTACTTGGGCCTTAGTGTGAGCCAAACAATAAAAAATAAGCAAATACATGAGACAGGTTACTTGAATGTATTCTCTCTTTTTTTTTTTGACTTTTTTAGTTTATGCAACAAATCCAAAATTTAGCATTTATTTCTACTATGTCAGTAAGAGCACAGCTCAGAACATGAACTCATTTTGAAAATGTTATGGACTAATTATCTGTGTCACATGATCAATGTTAATCTGTTTGTCCAGACAACAGGACTCGGCAACGGACTGACCTCTCTTGTTTGATAAGAAACTCTTTGAGCTGGGAGCCCTGTGATAGGCTGGAGAGTTCATGAGGCGATCTGTGATTGGTTATAAGCATGTCATATGATGTTATCATGGTGTATATTATTGGCTGTGTCCGCTGACGTGTCAGCGACAAGTTGACAGGGCTTCCTGATTGAGTCCTGTTTGTTTGTTGCTCAGAATTAAATCATTTATTTATGACTATACAWGCAGACTTTTCTGGCATTYTTCCGARGTGTTTCTGCTTTCATACCACGACAAAAACAAAACTACAGTTTTTTTAAATAGCAATACAGTAAAGTTAGCTTTTTAAAGGAGACATATGCTTTTAAATTCTTCTTTTTCACATTTAAATCATTCAGTTTGGGTCTACAGAAAGTAGAAGTACAATCCTTTGGTCTGAATTCCTCCTTACTGTAACTCCACAAGCCCCCCTTTCACCTTTTTTTCTCAGATCAACTTGTTTTGAGGCTGTCTCTTTAAATCCAAACAATGCTCATCATACGCCACCTCCTCCAGCTTCCAGAGCAGTCCTTTCCAGTTTGATAGAGGAGTTTATGACTATAAAGGCACAAAACATTTTTTTACTAATTAATTAAAACTATGGAACCAGAACCAGAACATGAATAAATTGCGCAACAGAACTATTCAACTGTAACAGATGTCAACATGGGAAAACTTGTCCATCCAGCCTCACATGTTGGAGCCAGAGGAGAATGAAGACCACTAAATTGTAGTTGGTAAGACTCTACTATTTGCCAATTTTGTCACAAACAATTATAATAATATAAATATATATTTGCAGCACCAGGGGAGACTAAATTCAAACTTTCTGCACTTCTAGAGATTCCAAGCGCAAAACAAAATGCATTTAATAGCTAAAAACGTGGATTTTGCCTGATGTGTCCCTTTTAAATGTGGGCTAAATGCAAAAACAATGTGTTCAAATGTTTAGCGTGAGTGACTTGCACATCTTAGAAAGCACAGTGAATACAGACAAGGTGATGTGTTTTCTGAGGGGGAGGTCACGATGCTGCAGTTAGAAGATTYAATCTAAGCTGGAGACCTTTGTGTGTAGAGGTGCAGCAACACTAAAAAATATTTAACAAAATTATTTGGAACAACTAATGTATAATCTTAGATGGAACCAGAACCAGAATAAATAAAGGAGAGTTATTCAACCATCCTCTGTGGGCGTGGGCCGGAAGAGGGGATTTCTGTCTGGGCCGCCAATCAAAAATAAATAA